AAACAACCAACAAAATTATGAGGATAATGATGTTGCCTAATAATTTTAACTAAGATTTCAAAGCATGCTGATAAACATTCCTATTAAAAATTTCCAAAGGAGCGTGCTTAATGTGTTTAAAACTTTTCACTTTCTCATATCGCCTTTCGTTAAAAAGTATCAAAGGTTTACAGACTGGATGGAGGGATGGGCAGGCAAGCCAGCAGACATGCTCAGTTCTAAACAAAAGTTGAAGTACAACATATTGACCTTAAAGTCTCCCACAGGACCTGCAAGTGACTATTTTATAAAACATTCCTTAGGAACAAAGCAGTCAGGGCAGTGACAGCCCAGTCCCTTTAGGAGATGTCTTCAGAGCTCCTGCCCAGAGACAGGTAACATGCCAGAGAGACACAGAGGCCAAGGATTCGACCCAGGCTTCCCAACTCCAGGACGGCATCCTTCCAAGCACACCACTGGCCCGGATCTCACAGAAGGGAGTGAATGGCTTGCAATCCACTTAGCTTTCCTTCCAGCTGTGTGGAGAAGTTACAAGTGCAAACTCTGAACCCCTTCAAGTAGAGTGAGGCACTTAATTTCCTGAACAAAAACAGGGAACTGCATTGAACAAGGGAATCATGAATGATATTTAAAGCCGCCGGAGTCTTAACACTGTTGCAATTAGAGTTATTCAAATGCACAGCCATCTCTGACAGCCCTGGGGCCTGGAGGATGCTTCGTAGAAGAGGCCAAGACATGAGAAATGAACTGTTCCCTACGTGCATTATTCATTCATTTATTTTCCATTTTTTTTGCATGAGAGCACCTTTAGCTATACTTTCGGTGAGAAATAAACCAAGTTTTACAATTACACAGCCTAATTCATGTCTTAAACTTCTAAAATGATTCATGTTTGGAAAATGACTTTTTTCCCTTAATAGTATCTTCTAAACAATAAAAAGGAAGGAACACTGCCTTCCTACAAATGCCATCGGTTTCCTGTGGAGGATACTTCCAGCTACGCCACCTCTGTGTTGATCAAACAGCATCAGGTGTGTTCCTTGTCTCTCTTGGAAATTGCTTCATTTATATGAAACTCTAAAATCAGGACCACAGTGTGCTACTTAAAACTCCAGTGTTTTATTATCACAATTCAAAAATTACAGAGCATTTAGATTTTAAAAATGCATATTTCAGAAGTACTCCAGCTGTTTATATGCCCCCAAGAGATTAATACTCGATGTATCAGATCTGACAGAGCAGGGGGAGTAGATCAGCTCCAGGAACTCTCTGGGCTCTGAGGCTTCCCGGGGATAATTCTTCCCTTCTCATGCTTTGAACTTTAGTTAATGATTATAATAGATGAAAGAGAATGTGGCTCACCACGTTCCCCAAAGATTTCCGTATTAAATTCCGAAGCCTGCAGGTAAGAGTCTGAAGTAGGGCAAGTCTGTCCTATACAAGCCCTCGCTCACTTCACATTTCAGCAAGAGCTTTTCAGTGGGTTCTACACTGGAGTTTCTGTTCCTTCAAATTCCCCATCGTGGCTTTTTTCTGCCCCCATCACTCTCCTCCACATTTCACCCAAATCAGAAGTTTTCTTCCTGGTTTCAGATGCCCCAGCTACAGACTTTTTCAAGCAAGCAAAGAAAAGCAAGAGACTCAAACATTTATTTGCATTCTATTTTCTCCACTGAATTCCAAAGAACTGGGGTTCTTTCTCCTTCCTCCTGCCACCATGACAGGAGTCTTTTTCCCTAAATAAATCCTGTTTTGCAAACTTGACTTGTCCTCATGAAAATTCTTTCTTGTGAGACAAGGATTGAGGTTGGTGTCGTGTTTTTGCGTCCACCGTCCCACAACACAAGGAGACCTTTGTAACTTCAGCCCTATTCAAATAACCTTATCTCTGTCTTTCAAAAATTCGTCCATGCTCAAATGCAGACAATTTCTAATCAAATCTTTAACCAGTTTCCTCTGCAGGGATACCAGCCTCTCCTGACCTACGGCTCCTCCCCAGATCACCATGAGACTACCTCATCAACTATGTGGTGCTGCAGTTCAACTCCAAGAAGCTATGGGAGGAACGTAAGGAGTGATTTGGTGACTCCAAGACTGACCCCACCATTCTGGACACAGCGGCCACCTTGCTTACCAGCTTACCCAGAACTACCTTAGATTCCCTAGGTCTTGGCCACCTTAAGGCCCACTTACCTAAGTAAACTTAGTGACCTTCAGATTCAGGGGATTGGTGGAGCTCCATTCATCCCTGGTGTCCACCTACAGCTGGGCCTGCCAGTCCCTGACCCCACATTCCCTGTACCCACCTCCAGGCTATAAAGATGCCTCTGCCCTTTGTTCTCTTCTGGTGCTTTCTCTCTCTACTTTGCTTCTCTCTCCCTCCCTCTCTCTCTCTCCTCTTCTCTCTGTTCCTACTTCCTCCCTGCCAAAATAAAGACCTCTCCTGTGCCTTGTTTATTGTGTCTGGTGTCTTGGGTTTGTGGGGGAAAAAAAAAGCTAACACTTATAACACTTAGTATGCTGGAAGGAAAGCAAGGAGCCTAGGACTCCAGAGCAAAGTTGGATGAGGAACACTAAGAGACAGGGATAAACTAGAGCCAGGGGGTCAAGTCAGGTGTTCACGTGGGCCACTGGAACGACCTGGCTGGAAGATCTGGAGTGAGGTCATGAAGGGGCTCTGAATGGACGCTGCAGGATCAAGGATTGGTATTCCAGTGTCTTGCACCGCAGTGGTGGCCACACAGGGAGTGAGCAGTGCTCCGCGTGCCCACACACTTGGGACAGACAGCCAACACCATTGTGGACGTACTGAACTGGAAATAGCAATCTTCACGCATCCCTTTCCTTTTCCTAAGTATCTAGGGGTCTACCAGAAAAGCATAGGTTATTTCTTCACTTGTCTATGTTTCGAAAGCAAGGTGGAGGGGAAAGGAAAGACTCCGGTATTTCTGGAGGGATTTGGAACTCCACCAAAGCAGGAAGGACTGAAGAGCCACACACAACAAACAACACATGGATCTGATGGCGGACAGCACAATTACAGAATGGCTGCATTTCACAAGAGAAAAGCTGCTGAGGCTGGCACTGTGATGTGGCAGGAAAATTGGCATACTGTATGGGCCTTGGTGTGGGACCCAGCTGTTCCACTTCCGACCCAGCTCCCTGATAACGTGCTTGGTAAAGCAGCAGCTTGGTCTCCTACCACCCACAAGGGACACCAAGGGAAAGCTCCAGACTCCTGGTTTCGGCCTGCCTCCGTGAACCAACAGATGGAAGATTCTTTCTCCCTCTCTCTCTCTCTCTCTCTCTCTCTCTCTCTAACCCTGCCTTTCAAATAAATAGAAAAATTAATCTTTTTAAAAGAGAGAGAAAAGCTGATGAGGAGCTATCATTTCTGACCACCTAAATTTTGTCTTTGTCCATTAGATAAGCCCAATAAGTTTTTAGGCATTTTCAACATCCCTTCTCTCAAGAAAAAAAATCATTCCTATGGCATTGTTTGCATCTTATTATTAGCTAAGATACTGCACACATAGGGGAATGACTGGCACATAATCCAGCCAGAAGTGGTTTAGAATATAATAGAAATGGAAAGCTTGCCTCACTATTATTTGCAAAGGTTGAAAATTATGCTATCATTGCCTTCATGGATCACTGCTCCTAAGTAATAGATCTGCAACTCAATGAAGCCTTCCTGAAGACTAAAGAAAATCTTAAATCTTATTTGAATATTTGAAATATCTAGCAATAGGGAGACAAATAGCAGAAGAGATCTGGTCTCTACCATGGAAAGAAGAAGGGCTGGGCGCAGGGCTGGCCCTGGAGCGGAGGACTGCTTCATGGGCTGGTGGGAAATGTACCATGCAGAAGACACTTCCCTCAACTCTTTCCTCTTCTGTCTCAAAGCTTGCTTCGCGTTCTCTCTTCTCTGTTGAATGTGCTCTCTGTCTGAGAGCACAGGATACTCTGTGCTTCTCGAACTGGAGAGGGAATGAAACTCCCCAGTGCGTGCCATCCCCGTACAAGTAACTGTGTCAATGAAGACCTTTAGAAAATGCCAGAAAGCCATTGGTTTTAGAGAATTTACGTCACTTCCCCTACTTAGCCACGTTTCTGGGCTAACGGATCTACTGCCTTAACGTACGTAACAGAGAGTTCTAACCCCAGTGAATGCTTAAGAAATGAGGAGTAAATAATCTTCACTGTGCGAAATAAAAATTAAAATATTATTCTTCAAATAAGCCTAGTCCCTCCATTGGTGAAAGAATGATATTTTCTCAGCTTGAGAATAATCAGAGCCTTTGGGGAGTGTTTGACACCCTTTCATGAAAAGACAAAATACAGTCTAGACAGTGTCAGGGAACATGAATACAAAATGCTGTCACAAAGACTTAACCTAATTTGTGAATCCATATGATAGATCTCCTATTTAATTTTCTATTGCTAAATAGTGTGTTTTAACACGCAAGTATTATTGTTAGTAAGCACACCTCATTGATAGCAAGAAAACTGCAAGTCTGAATTAACTTAGGCATCAAACTCAAAGCAGCGAGTGGGTGGAACTCTGTCCTCTTCCACCAAGCCCTGTTTTTTGCACACTCCTGATGACCGCCATGCCTCACCCCACTACCGCCCACATTCCCCAAGCCTTGAGTGAGCACCTCTTCAGCACCAGATGCTGTCTGCATCAGGGAGATCCAATCTGTGCCTTCCAGAGCCTTCTCTGCTGGGTGTCAGGTCTACTAAACTCAGAACAATCCTGTAACAACAACATGGTACATTCTACATTGCAAATTAGCAACTACAAATAACAGGAAGCTAGAAGAATATCTTTTCGCAAGTCAATCATCTTGAACAACAGTAGATGTTATTTTACAGATGTTGTTTGTCCTTGGAAAAAGTATAATTTGTATCTTTATAAAATAAAGAATCAGGTCTCATGAATTTAAATTACCTCCTTGCAAAACAATTTCTGGAAAGCTGCCATGACAGAGTCTTACCTTATGATAACACCTAAAATATGCAGCACGTTCATCAGAAAATTTCTCCAGCCTTTTGGGGCCCTTGCTCGAAGCTTTCTTGAACACCAACCAGCATCTCTGATAAATCTGGAAGGAAATACAAAGACTGAGCTCAGCGTCGGCAATGACTCCTCTGTGTCTGAGATTAGCATTTAAATGTTTTCTTCTTGATGTTTTCACCTGCAAAATATTCACAAGCCCGAAATGTGGATGGAGCTTTGGGAACATCAAATCGGAAAAACTAAAACTGTTTGCACAGCAGGCGTATTACGTGGTCGTCCAGACAATTACAACAATCAAAGGAAAATAAGTGTGTGAAGGTCAATTTCTTCATATTTTGAGAACAATATCACTATACACATTTCAAAAAATGTCCCAAAGATAAAAAAAAATCGCAAGTTAGATAAAATGGCAAGGCCTTCAAGGTATATGCTCTCATTTCCAATACAATTAAATCTGAAAGTGAAGAATTTGTTAAAGATATCACTGCCAATTCTTGGAGACAACCAATGTGTGTCGAGTGAAATTCCTCACAATTGATGGTGAAGAATCGGGATGGATGCTAGATGAACGAATGACTGGAAAATGACCTCATCAAATTTAAAAGCTTTTGCTGTGTGGAAAATGCTTGTTAAAATGAACAGAGGAGAAAAAACCTGGAAGGAATCATTTGCAAAGCACAACTCTGACCCAGGACGCATGTCTGGGATAAAGAACTCTGAAATGTCAGTGTGAAAAAACAAAACAAAGCACAAAATGTGGAAAAAACATGAACAGGCTTTCCACCAAAAGAGGAGACACAGATGGCAGAGAGTGCAAATCCTGACCAACAAGGGAAATGTAAATCGCATGAGTTATCGCGATACATCTGTCAGCCAGATCCCCGCTCGTGGCTAGTGAGAACGGAAAATGGCAGACTCGCAAACACAGGTGGCGATTTCCTCAACAACTAAACATGCCACCTGCAACAAGCCGGTGCATATTTAGGAATCGTCCCACAGAAATGTAAACCTGTATCTGAGACAAAAAAGGCTGTGTGGAAGGTATTGCTCAAAACAGTCCCAACCTGGAAGCATCCGGTTGTCTCTCAGTAGGTGGATGGTTCCATCCACGCCATGGAATGCAAGTCAGCAACAAAATAGATGGGTCACTCTCCAGAGAACCATGCTGGGTGGAAATAAAAGAAGCCCAACAGAGTACACACAATTCAATTGCATTCGTATACCAATCTTGATACGACAATATTACAGAAATGGAAAACAGACGAAATGTGTAGGTGCAGGGAAGTCCCAGCAGTATGTTGACTATGACATCTACTGCAGGTTGGGAGGCCTCGTTAACAGATGACGAAAGGGCATGAGCTCTTTGCAGAATATTCCTCACAACTCAATGTGAATCCCACTTACATACATTAATGTTCATAGCAGCACAATCAGTAATTGCAAAAACATGGAAGCAACCGAAATGCCCATCAGCAGAAGATTGGATAAGAAAGCTTTGGTTCATCTACTCCATGGAATACTACTCAGCTATTAAAAAAAAAACAAAACGCAGTTCTTTGTGGCTAAATGGGCCCAACTGGAAACTATAATGCTAAGGGAAATGAGCGAATCCCAAAAGGTTAGATACCACATGTTTGCCTTGATTTAACCTGTAATTTTTGTTTGGTTGTTTGTTATTTTTTGAACCTGTCATTGATACTGTCTCAACCCAGATGTTTCGAAGAATGGAACTTGCATTATTTTTAACATATTGTTTACTCAATACTATGTCAATTAATTCCATAATGTTGTATATTGATGCTGAGGTTTTGTTGGGGCTTTTAACTGACCGGAACTTTACTCTGTTAGCTCTACCTTCAGACCAGAGAAGGTCTCCCCAAGAGGCCACTGAACTTATCTGGACAATAAGATGCTGGACTTTATGCTAGGTATATGCTTGCAATGAAGGAATCTCAACTGAACTTGAACTGTGGTTATGCAGCAAGGTGGAGGAATCCACTATGGGGGGAGGGGTATGGGAGGGGTGGGGGGAATCCCCAGTGCCTATAAAACTGTATCACACAATACAATGTTAATAACAATAAAAAAATCCTATTTTAATATTTCAAAAAAAATACAGATAGCAGCTCAATGTAACATTAACTAATTCTTTTATAAAAGACATAAAACTAGTTCACTAAGGCCTTTAAGATGATGGGCAAATCCAACAGTTACCAACATTCTCACTCAGGTCTGTTTTCACACCTACACATCACAGTGTAATTAGCTGCTACGCTACTTAGCTTAGCAGTCCATCACTTGGTCTTCAACAGTATCACAGTTACTTTTCTGGAGAATGCTTGAACATCAGGAAGATAACGAAAAGCATGTTTTGGCAGCAAAATTCCTATTAGAAGGAAATAGAAAATCCTGCCATGTAAGGAAAGAACAGCCTAATGAGATGTGATCGCGTAGGCCTTTAGTAAATGCTCTCTACAGAGGCCCAAATGGTAAATATTTTAGTCTTTCAGGACACTACAGTTTTTGCTGCAATCATTCAACTCTTCAGACAACAGCAGATACAGCCACAGAAACACACATGCATGAGTAGGTGTGACTATCTTACAATAAAACCTTTGTAAAATCAACCAGTTGGCCAGTTTGCCAACCTTCAATTCACGATAGCATTTTTCAACTCTCCATACTTTAGACTCCAGTCACCTTTGACGAACATAAACTTCTGTTTGATAAGTCCCTCTTGGGGATGGTGTCAGGTGGAAATCCTTATATATTCCACATTCCCTGACTAGCCAAAATTTTATCTCAACAAAATTATATGAATACATATGCATGAAGAAGCATCTTTACTGCCTCTCGTCCCTGTTCACAGCCGGGGAATCCCTGCCCTGTAATGCAAGGGGCTGCCCCCTTAATGAGCAGCGTCTCCCCCAGGGACGTCACAGCCTTCCCCAGCTCCACCTCGGGGTGGGGTTAGATTCCCGCAGTCACTGTATCACAGGGGAGCTGTGTTACTACTGTCTCCCATTTACCAGCACTCCTTTTCTGTAAATGTCAGCTTTCTCTTTCCAGAGCATTCTCTCCAAACTCTAAGGACAGATCCTCAGCCACACAATGCTAAATTCGACTCAGTTCTCAAGTCCCACACCTTTCCCCTATTTTCCAAAATGAGTCATTATTTTTCATCCAGGAGGCCAACACCAATGCCTGGCATGCATTGAACACACTCTCTGTGTGCTGCGGGACGCCGAGCCTCCCCTGTGGATTATCTGAATGAAGCTTCCCAACCACCTTCAGAGGCAGGTGTTGGTATCTGCCCTCCTTCGCCTGAGTGCAGCGAAGCATCTCACACTAGGTCATGACCTGGAGAGATAAGCCAGGGTCCACGCTGGAAACCAAGCTCTCCACTACAACTCCAGGGTTTCCTCAAAAAAGTTGGATTCACAAACTCAGGCTGAGGGTCGAGTCATCTGTAACAATCTCAATTTCCAGCCTATCATAATCTGACAAGAGACATTCTGTTGTAACCGCATGCTCTTGCATCTGGGTGACTACTTCACAGCTGATCTATTTCAGGCTGACATCTGAGATGGTAGCTTCCCTGGCACCACGTGCTCACCTACTGTTCAAGGAGCATCTCTGAAACCAGAGGTTCCAGCACCAGTCGCCCAGTAATCCACAGGAAGTGCGAGCTTTCAAAGGGACCCCAAGGTACTTCTCCCCTACGTGAAAGGTTAGTATTTGCAATGGAAGTCCAGAAACCCCAAGTGCAGGCAATGTTTCTGGCACCCTGGACATGTCTTATGCCATTCCCAGTTTTCCTAATCTTGTCTCACCTCTCCGGCTATTGGGTTTCCTTACTTATGGTGGCAGTAAACTAATGTCCAGGGTCACAGACACCTTGCTGGTCTGTGCGGCCCACTCACCCCTCGATGAGCCACGAGCCTCCCTTGAGACTGAAGCTGCCCCCTTGGAATGCAAGACATCTCTGTCATCTGAGAGGTGTCGAAAATTGGCACTAAACAAGGACTCCCCAACAGTAACAGACAATGGAGTGGATTGAAGCCATCTGGAAGTCAAGGGAAGACACTGTACCCAGAGAGAAACAAGACAAAGGAGAAAGGCCATTGGACCTGCTTTTGTCTGCAGACTTCTGTTGCAATACCCAACTTGGGCCGGAATCATCTTTGAGACCAACGTGCTCAAACTTTGCAGCTTATTTTAATGACTCTGCTGTGATAGGATTTGAGAAGTTGGTAAGCGCAGAGTACAAAGGAGGCTGTTCTTTGCCATGCTTGAATCATAACATGCAGGATGCTACCAACTCTGTTTAAAAAATAATGAGCTGGAGCAGAATCGTGTGTACACATCTTTTTTTAATGAGTAAACAACCTCTATCCATGCCTGTTATTTGCACGGCTTTCGATTTTAAGGAAAGAAATACTAACTTGGAGAAGGGTGCACAATGGAAAGCAAGGTATATTTTTAAATTAACTGTAAGGAATACCAGCAAAATTGGATGAAAGATCTTCCTCTCCGCCTCTCCTCCTCTCTGTATATCTTTCTAATAAAATTTTAAAAAATAAGTCTTTAAAAAAAACGTTTTAGCTTAACTACTTTGAGACCACAAAGCCTAGAAGGGCACTAAATTCTCATTTCCTTATTTTTGAATGGCTAAGTGAATAAACAAATGAACACATAAATGAATGGGGGAAAGCCAGACTAAGAGCTCAGGCGTTTCTCAAAACTTCATATACGATGCCCTTGGACTTGAATATGAAGGATCCTCAGAATAACCTTGATATTTCCAAATAAGCCTCAACATTTGTTTAGAAGACCCCCCCCCAAATGTAGAATACAACATTTCAAATTATTTCAAGAGGCAATGATTTAAAATATTATTTGAAATAATGATGTGCCATATCTTTTTTTAAAAAAAAATCTACTTCTATAAAATGCTATTTTTTGTACTATGGAGAAAGAGCCCTGGTAGTCATTTGAGCATCAATGTTTTCCAGTGTCAGTGGGTTTTGCTCTAAAATCGCAGAACCTCAAAATGAATACATTTCCACAGAGGCTGGAGCAAAT